TTATTATCCTTCTGTCAAATTTTCAAATACAATTTTTTCCATCTGTTGATTTCATCACCTATATGGCATGCATATACACGATTAATTCTGGTTATACAGTGAGACCCCCACATGCGGACGCCTCAACATGGGGACATTTTTTTAACAAAAAAATCATAAAAAAGACCGAACATGAGGACATTGACTCAACGTGCAGACATTGCAGGAAAAAATTCGAAAATAAATTTTAGGAATATTGATTTTTACAAGGCTTAATTGCAAGAAACAGATGTTTCCAACCTAAGATCTATGCAAGAAAAATTCTTTGGTACTTTTCCCATCATTTTCCCATCCATTCAGCTAATTTAAAAAATGCCCTATAGCACAGAGGGACTTCCTTCTAGCTCTCTTTGTGACATGGATGTTATTTTTCCAGATGCCAACTTTTCAATTAACTGCTACAGAGATACACTATTCAATGCTCCAAATGTTTGTATTGGTTTGAAAAGATATTCATTGAATCAAATTGAAGTGGCAAAATTTTTTTTCCATGAAATTCTGAAGAATATTTCTTCTATAAAACACCAATTGAAAATTATACAATGTAAGTCTATGGGAAAACAAGATTAAACTTGGGGACAATCCAACATAGGGACACTCTTGATACACCAATTATGTCCACATGTGGGGATCTCACTGTAGTTTGTTTAGGTGAAAAAGAACTACAAGGGATAAATTACGGAAATTTATTTGCTTTTGCTTCAAAAACTGCACTATGCAGAAAAAATCCTTTTCTTTGTTCCTTTTTTCCCATCTACATTTTTAAATTTGTTTTTATTGCTGTAACATTTTTTATCTGGGACACACTGTATTTGGTACGTTATTTTTCTTCTGTTTCAGTGATGTTCTGGAATTTTTATAGGCATCAAGATGCAGTTTTTGTTTGCAAACAATCGGATGCAATTTTCGTGTTCCTTATTCATCAAGTATAATTTCGGACTAATGATTTTGATTTTCATCGGCTCTGTTGTTCGTAATTTTGATTCGAATATGATTGTTTGCCAACTGATTTCTTTCCGAGTCCCGAGCGGAACGATAATCAAATCTTTTTTTCGTAACTCATTTGACGTGCGTCGACTCGAGACTCGTGAGACGACAGATAAAAGACGTCAAGGCCCCTCTTTTTCATATGCTCAGCAAATCAAACCGTCGCTCAGCAACTCTAATCTCCCCATTTTCCCTCCATTCTTCTTCTAATCAGGAACTTACTTCGCATCGACAAAGTGTCGGATATCTAACATAAACACACGGCCTTCCCCGACACACACGCAAAGAAATGTTTTTAATCTTATTTTTAATATACTGTATATATTTTTTACTGCTTGCTGCTGTAACACACGTGCAGCAGTGTGATGATACAAGCCAGTTCAGAAGGGACGCACTTCATGGTGTTTCGTTGGGACAAGGCTGAACCTTCCTCTTCCTGGAAAATTGACTGGGATTTATCCAACTGCGGTTATCTCAGTCTATTTCCGATTCCATCTGCAAACTGTAGGCAAGAGAGTGTTTTCTTGACAGTGGGAGATATGGGTGGTACCTTAAAATTTGACCTCCTGCAATTCAACCATTGGGAGATTTGATGTTTGAATTTGTTGGGAGGTCAAGTTGCAATTCAACCAAGGCCCTGTGATTCAACCCACAGAGATGGGCAAAAACATCAAATACAGGTAAACCTCAATAAGTTGAACCTCCATAAGTGGAATATCCCAAAAGTCAAAATTTTTTAAGGTTCCCATCTGAATCCCCTTAGAAACAATACATTAAAAACCTCCCTAAGTTGAAAGCTTTCCCCCTCAAACCTCCGTAAGTTGAATTTTCTATGGCTGTTGACCATTATTATCTAGACCCAAGAAAGAAAAAAAGCAATAAAACATAAATTTGTGTGTTTTAAAGGAAGTGAAAGACTTGATTGGGTAAATTAACCACTGCCTCCAAGTTCAGCAGCCTTTAAACTCATACAAGTAGCCATTCAAGCCCGAGGATATCACCATTTGCCTTTTTTTCTCAGTTTCACTGAAAAAGGGCTTTGTATTGTAGTTCAAACCAATGTAATTCAAAACCTCTTAAGTTGAAACCTCAGTAAGTCAAATTTTTTGCAGGTCCCTTGAAATTTGACTTAGAGAGGTTCAACTGTACAATGTAGAAAACATCACATTTGACATTGCTTTGAAATTTGACTGCTTTGTAATTCAACCCTGGTCCAGAGATGGATTAGGGTCAAATTGTGGGGCACCACCTGTATCCCAAAAAATAGAGCACAAGCTCAATTTAGAAGCTTTTGTGCAAATATGCAGGGTTATACAAAATGGCTTTTAGGCCCTCATGTACTTTTTTATGTACAGTTTAATCTCTCCAAGTCAAAATGCAAAGGAACAGCAGAACAAAACTTACAGGAGGTTTAAAGTTGGGGAAACAGCCCTTTTTGTGCCAGATATAGAGAGAAAAGAATTTCAGAAAATCAAATTTGGTGATCTTTTGGGCCCCACACTTACACTACAGAATAAATTAGATTACAGTTTAAGTTAAGGGTAAATTTGCACACTATAATTTGCTTTGGCCAGCACATTTTTATTTTGTTTATTTTTCCTGAGTAACCATATTACTGTAATACCAAAAATTCCTTCATAAATCTGAGTTTTGGAGGTTTGAGGGGAAAGGCTTTGAGTTAGAATTTCTTATTACACATTGTTCTAAAGGGAATTCAGGCAGGGTTTAAGAAAATTAACATGGAAATGTTTTTGACTTAAGGAGGCTCAAGTTATGGAGATTCAACTTTAATTGAATTTAACATTGTTAACTCAAACCTCATCCTCAAGTCAAAAACTTTTTATGTTGAATACTTTTTCCCCCTATCTAAATTCCTTACCTCTTCTGTAGCAGAACCAGGATTTTTCCACAAAAGTTGCTCAAATGACACCTTAGAATATTAAGATATTGAACTTGTAAATGAAGCTCCAGTCAGCATATATTTGCATTTTTTCTACGCAGAAAAATCTTTGAAGAGCAAGAAGAAATCTTTTTTTTTCTGAATATATTCAAACTTCAAGCCATTGTACATCCCAGTACTTCTCATTCCAAGAATTGGGGAAGAGAAAAAAGTGGATATAGTACGTTATTAAATTCTTTTGAAGCTTTTCCTGAAATTGATGAAATTCATAGTCTCAGTCCCTAAGTTTTATCCAAATTTTTGCGGCACTGGTCCTCAGAAAGGCAAGGCCAGAAAGTATATAAAAATCCAGGGTGGAGCATTATTTTTAAATCGACTTTTAGCAATAAAAAAACTTACGTCTGCCCATTTTAAAACAGGTTTTCCAATACTGTACAATCAAAAGTTTCTGTGAGCCAGGGATGCGCAGAATCATTTTATGAAGACGAGGTACAACCCAGGAAAAGAAAATATTCAAAACAAGAAGGAGAAACCTGATTGCCCCAAGGTACCATCAAACGAAATAAATTCATTCCGGGGCAGTAAAAGGGACCACCCAGCAGGGAATTCCCAGCCTCTATACAGGCGCTCAAGTTTAATTTTCACTGATAGCGCCCAAAGAAAAACAGCCAACTTTTTTTTCTCAATTTCCCACCATTACCCAAAGTCCCCCCACTCCTCGGTGGGTCTTGACCGCCGGGTTCGAAATTAGGGAGCGATGCTTTCGCTCTTGCACTTTTTGACGGCCCAGTGATCGAATGAGCAATACAATATATACTGTAGGTTTCTTTTTTCAACTTATCTATTCCTTCTTTGCATCCAATCATAAAAAACGAAAAAATATTTCTGAGCTTTATTACATTCGAATACAAAAGGCCGGCAAAAAATAAATATGAAGCTGAAGCCCTGAAGATCACGTTCCATCTCATCATCATTATTTATTGTCCAGTGGATTTCTTCCACTCAATCAAATCTAAATGGTAATTAATCTAAATAAACCATCAGTGATGGCATTTGTCAAATGTTCTTGGCTTTCATCGTGATAATTTCAATTTTTGAATTTTTAAATGTGAATGGATAGTTCATTCAAAAATTTTGCGAATAATAATTTCAATGGAAGAATTCTAAGTTGAAAATAATTAAATGGTGAATCAGTACGTGGATCACGTAAGGCACAGATGTGGCCATGAATGCAAACCCCTATTGCCAGACTTCCAGGTAAAAACTTCCAACAGGGAAATTCCACGTTGGACTTCCCCCAATTGCTCAATAAACCTTTTCCCTCCATTTTCAATGCTAACATTTCTCCAGTCTCGAAATTCCATGCACAGGATATACTTTATTTTGCAAGCTTTATTTTTACCAGATTTCTGTTTTAAATTCTGAATACATTTGTCTTGTCTTATGTCTTATGATTTCTCATCAAAAATTCTCTGTAATTTTTTCATTCAACTAAACCTCTTACAGAAACAAGCTGAAGACCTTGTGCTTTAAATTAATTTTTACATATATTTTGTTACCAATGTCAGGGAATGAATGGGTGTATGCATACATGTCAGATGTCCAGTTGTATTTCATGTTGTATTGTATTTTCTTTTATTTTTGTTAGCAATTTGTTCTTTCCTGCTCTGAAGTGATTATAAATGTCATTGAGTGGATTTGGGTTGGGTGGGAAGGGGGTTTGGTTGTGGAAATCTTGACTGAACCTTGTGAACGCTGAAAAGCGGCAAATAAAGTGTTCTGTTCATTCATGTAAGTCCTACCAAGGGTTTCCCTGCGTGTTCCCTGCGGCAGATTTTGTCTCATATTTTATTCTTTGTGTCTTATTCTAATTCAATCTTTGTGAGGGCCTTGCCCCACAGATCAACAGACTCATATCTGGTGAAGGAAAAAATTGAGATCTAGAAAAAATTAAATAAAATCCATAAAAGGGTTTTGAAGTCGCGGTCTAGTCCAGATAATCTGGATTCTAGAATGCTCTCGATTCTGGAAAAAAATATACAATTAAAAATGAACAAGAAAACCACGGATAAACTTCTGGAGTAAAAAAAATCAATCCTTCATTTACACACATCATTGCCGTTGTCAAGCACAAAAATATTCCCATCAGCAAACTTGTCACACACAAAACAAAAAAACAGAGCATCTGAAGCACACGCGATCAGAGGGGCGTCGATCAATTTTAAAGCTAAATCCGACGAAACGCCAAAAACAAAAAGTAAATCGCAGTGATTCGTCGCCAAGTTCCCGATTCTCTCCCTTTGTTCACGCAAAAATGTTTGCGTGTTTTCTTTCCCCTTTGAACAGTGATAGAAATTCGGCGGAAATCAGCGACGATCAACGCAACCGGCGATCAATCATTCCTCTCAAAAAGAAAAGAAACGATTTTGTCAAATGAACGACGCCCTACGGAATGTGTACGACAAAAGAAAAGCAAATCAACACAGCAGTTGCCAGCATTATGTAAAAAAAAAAAATTAAAACCGTATCGAATAGCACAATGGCACTTGAAAAAGTAAAGAGAAACGGAACTAAAGCCTGCTGAAAAACAAAGCGACCATAAAAAAAAACGAAGCCTAAATTCGTTGCCATTATTTTTCGAAAAACATACAGAAAAATCAAGTCTTGCTCAAAAATATGAATTGAACTGCTTCAAGAAGTTCAAAGTCTTTCAAAACTATGGCAAAACGCAGTCATTAAATGCTCAGAATGAATGAATAAATTCGTTGAAAGACACTGTACCAAAAAAAAAATGGGTCAACGAACAGCAGTGGAACGCACCGAAAGCTCGAACACATCACAAATCTTTTTCCTCAAATTTTCATCGTAGAAATTTTGCGATTGACAAAAAAAAAACGACAATCGCGATTGCACACTACGCCTCAAGCGAATATAAACTCAAAAGAAGGCTTGTCACTCTCCTGTCTGCCAAATTTAATCTAAAGATGCTGAATTTATCAAAGGTTCATCATTCGACGAACGCTCAATTCCAATGGCTTCAAATTTATTTGCTGTTCTTTAAAAAAAAAATTATAAAACTTTTTTGAGGAAACCCCCGTTCCTCACATTTAAACTTGGATTGTTTTGAAACGAAAATTCTTTTTTGTGCAGTCTCAGTATTTAGAGCAAAAAAATAATTGGCATCAATCACAGATGACTGCAAAAAAATATCATGACCAATATGTGTTTATGCTTTTCAGATACGGTGAAGAGACTCAGATGCTCATTTATAATTTAAAAATCTCACTTTCTCAAAGCATGCCAATTAATCACGGTAAATAAATATGGAATTGATTCCATGCAAAAAAAATTCAGGAGATCCAGATGCTAATTAATAAAAACCACTCCCAACCTCAACTCAATCATTCATTAAATTGATGCGAAAGGGTTTCTTCTTTGAACAGTTTAGAGGGGACATAATAATTTTCTATCCAACATAAAATTTATTCTAATTTTGAAGAAGCTTCGCATCCAAGGAATGAATCAAAATTTTGCAACAATTATGCGAGGCGTTCGCTATCCTGAGTGTTTTTATTCAAGAAAAAACCAAATATACCCCGAAAGGCTTTTTTTGATCATCTCGGACAGACAGGAGCTGACAACCAACCCTAAAAAAAAAAAACACCTGCATATGCGTCTCCTTTTTCCATCACTCTTTCAGGCCTCCAAAACACACGGCGCCGCCTTGGCGCCCCGCACCAGCTTCACCCACTGCGACATGGTGGCGGCGCAGGTGAGCCACGGGTCGCCGAATCGGGACCGACCCGCAAACAGGTACTCGCCGGGCCCGGACTTGGCCCGACAGTGCACGGGTGCGAAAATACGGGCCTCGCTGGTGTGACGCTGATGAGAGAACCCCATTTTCACTACATCTGGCGACAGGGAACCCTGTCTGAAGGTCTTGGTTGTCGACAGGACAATCTCGGTCCGGTCCACGTCGGGTTCGTCGGCCACCCGCAGAATTTTCCCGCGCACCACTATTCACGAAAAAAACAAACACGAGAAGGCGAAGATTAAATTTGAGAATGCTTTTGTTTTTTTTCTTCTGGGGAATGGTAAATGAGGGAAGAGATTCGGCTAATAATTATGAATTTACCCCTTCATTTTTTCACCAAAAAAATATGCTCCCACTGTGTGTTGTCAATATGAAGTTTACGAACCAAATGTACAGTCAACCCCTGATTATCTAAATTTCGGTGACGAGCAAAAAATCAACGCTCAATTGTAATTAAGTAATTGAGTTTATTACAAACTCGTCCGGATGGAAAAATGTAAAACGCAAAAAAAATTCAAAATTGCACAGTAATACCAACGTCACCTTAATATGAGTACAGTAAAGCACTTTCGTGGGTATTATTGTTTGGGGTTATGAACTGTGACCATACGCTTAAAACTGTGCTTCAGAGACAAATCTAAGTTTCTTTTTTTTTTTAATCGAAGAATAATCTGCTCTCGATAGTTTTTCCCGAAAAGTTAACAGCTTCTGTACAGGCATTTTGACAAAAAAATAAGACTGAATCTGAAAGAGAGGGCCTTCAAATAGGGGAAACCAGGGTTAACAAGAGAACTGTGTCAACTTTCATTACATGGGGAACATCATTATGCCCCCGGATATGTAATATTTTTTTCAATCCAAGTGTGAAGAAAAACTAGTGTTTTTCGTAACATTTTCTCCTACGGATTGGGATTCAATAAAGTTAACGTAAAACTACTTATAAATAATTATGAGTACTGTATTCATGAATAATGCAAGAGGTTCGGTAGAATAATATTCTCGCTAGAATAAATTCTCGTAGTAAAATATAATTACTTTCCACATTTTTTTACGTCCTTCGCAGAAGCCACAATGTATTTAAATTTCTTCAGAAGGATTTTTCGATCACAAGAAAGCTTTATTTGGCGGCGTTGTAACAAGATTTTTTACTGTACAATTCAGTGCACCGTTTGAAAAATCACGAAAAACTCGAGAGAGTTTTCACTCACCAAAATCACTGGAGCAAAACGCATTCAGCAGCTCACTGTCATCACAAGGTCGGCATTCTGAAAGAAACCAGAAAGAAAAACAAATGATGTAAGAATTGCAGAGACTTTTTTCACGCTTTTACACAAAACCGCACGGCAAATACGTGACAAGCCCACACAATGTCTACCTTACAACTGAAACACGAATGAGGTTTCAAAAGAAAATCACCTCATCAGAGATGATTTTTGACACGTCACACACACAAAAAAAAATCCAAAACCTTCGAGAGGAAAAAATCAGATTCTCCGAAGTAAAATACAGCATGATTCGTCGACACGTCCTGAACCAGAATTGAAGACTGGCTTCTTTATAACGAATAACTTTTCGTTATAATAAAGGCTCTCGATTTAATCTTCCTTCCCTCACCTTCGCATTATAATCCCACAAATGATTTCAAAGAGTTATCAATGGAGGAAAGAAAAACCGTGATCTTTTTTCAAATGCTAAAAAAAAATCGATTCAGTTACGGAATCATCGTCAGATATCCAGCATAACTGTGATGGGATCTGAGGATTTGTCAAACATTTAAACCAGAAAATTCACATTTCCACGAGAGAAAAAAACGAATACATTCTTGAAATTTTAGAATAAAATGGAATACTTGGCACGTACAGTAACACAGACATTCTCCGAGTAGGTTTATCCATAGCTAATCCCATCAGTTCTAATCCTAACTAATTAACGACTGACAGAAGATTAGGAAGATAAATAGGTTCGATCCCCCTTTAATCCGATTACATTATAACAAAAGAATAAAAATAATACATTTAAAAAATTCAAATTCCCCTATTTGTTTGATTGGTTGGAATTAGATAATTCCAAATCCTGGAAGAAATCAAATATAAACGATGTTTTAACTTATCCATAAATTGAATTTCAATATTAATAATTTCTATAATAATTCCATCTTCGTTATAATACAGTACAGTACAAAATAAATAACCCCTGACAGGATATTAGGAAAATCAAACATGATATTTTACGATTTCGACCCACAGGGAAAAGATGGAGAACTTCTAAAAAAAAAATTCCTCCGCAAGCGGGAAAAGTCACAATTCCCAAGAGAAAAGACACACATTTGTCACAACTCAACAATGAATTCACCGCTAGATATTCTGGGAAAGAAAAATACATATTCATCTTCGTACAAAAGCACAGAGGTGAGAGCTTCGTATTACATCCTCACGTCTCCTTTCCCTCGCATTCTAATTCCACTACTTCTGATACTAAAGAGTGAGTGACAAGGTATATACCGAGAAAAAAAGAGAAGTCAAGCTCAAGTTCACTCATTGTCCTCATCCCAGCACCTTAAAAAAAATCCTTTTGACAAAAAAAAGGAGACCCACACGTCAATCAAGACGACGGTGCCCAAAGAGAAAAACGACCTTCGCCCTGGGCTCTCTCTTTTCCTGTCGTCGACGGCCCTTATCAACACTACCGTACATTTCAAGTGCATGGCGGGGGAGAGAACATAACAATCTTGCTCAGATCAAGTTGCCTTCTTCTCCTCTTTTTTTTATTTATTTTTTGAACTCCCCCGCGACGAACAAACGCTTTTGGCTGACTCCTTATTCCCTTTCCAAACTCATCCCCCGAAAGTTCGCGTCAAGCCATTCAAGCTGCTCCTGTCCGTTGTCAAGTGCCAGGAAGGGCTTCAACACTTATTTATTGTACATTTTGAGAGTTCAAAATGCGTGGTTTAATACAAAAGTTGCAAGTGTGCCGAGGATGACGCAACTTCCGGCGCGTTCCCCGGAGATAAAAAAAAAACCGGAAAATGATTTTCAGAAATGAATTGATTTCAATCTCTCTCAACAACGAAATGCGAGGGACCGTCAAAAAATTATTGTCGAGAGAATTTTGTCGTAGACGACCTTTATAACATGGGGTTAGAGAACTTCGCGGGACCAAAATAAAAATTCTCAATACAGCGAAAATTGTTGTAGAGAAAGTCTACCTGTAATTTGGATCGTCCTCAGACTGATTATAGTCGATAAATAAAAGCGAGACGTTGAAAAAGGAAAATAGCAACCGGAAGCATAAACTCGAATCGTTCAAATTATATTCCTCACAATTTTAAACCCACCAATGTTTGCAAAACCCTACGAGGCGACAATAAGGAAACAGATAAATTAAATTGTCTGCGAAGAAAAAATAAATATAATCATCTCTTATTTCAAAATTTGCGCTTCTCTGATCGAAATTCAGAAGAAAAAAATTCCTGCTCCGTCCTGTACTTCAGGAAGAGCCCAATAGCAATTCTGAAATCAAACTTTCAAAGCCTTTTCGGACGCAAAGAAACGGGGAAATATCAAACCCCAAAGGGACGTCGAATATTTCAGAGGACCCATGTTTGAGCTCGGGGTTCATGTGTGTGTGTGTGTGTGTGCAATGATGACAACACGTTTCCGTGGATCGCAAGATTCGCAAAAAATCAACACGCATATTTTTGACAGCAGATTTCCTGACAGGGAGACTTTCTTTTGTTGTTGCAGAAATAAAAAGTGGGGTGGGCAAGGAATGAATGGCTGAACGACATATTTTGCGGGAAGTTTGAGTTCCCTTCATGCGTCATTGATTTCAACTTCCGATTCTCGCATTCACACATGAGAGGCAAAAAGTTGAAATTTCGAAAAAAAAGGGACAAGAAAAACCCGTTCGTTCAGCTAATGCGGTTAAATCAAAAAATTTCCCGACTCTTTAAGCTTTTGTTACGCGAATCTGTATTCGATAAAGCCCTTAACGTAGCTACAGTATACTACGAAAATTCGCAAAAGATGGGAAAAATTCGACCCAAAAAATTTGAAAAAAAAACGCGCATAAGAATTCCTTCATCCGTAAACAATAAAAGATATAAAATCGATTATTTGTGGAAATTTCAAAATGCACAAAACTCTAAAAGAAACAGAGTCGGTCCAAGAGACTCACATCAAACAAATTCGCTTTAAAATTCAATAAGTACTGAATGGTACTTCACAATTCGAACAAGTCCAGAAAAATGCAGCTGGAAATTTCCCTTACAGTATTTGTACAGCCGGACAATTCTCGCTTCCTATTCCAAATTTCCGGGAAAGATGAAAAAGCCACATGACCCTCATCAAAAACTTGAAAAATCATAATCGCTTCATCAGACACATGCGAAGGGTTCTCAGAAAAAGAAGAAAAATACCCAGGAGATTTTCCAATCGTCTTAGCCTTGCAGAATCGCCTTCCACAAAATACCTCAGAATATTTCCATCGCCAAAAAATAGGGGGAAAATCTACACCTGGGCAAGCGAAAAATCCAAGGTCTCAAGCCAAGCGAGCTCTCAGATAAGCAAGAATAAGTTCCAAGGAAAAGGGGAAACTTTTTCACGGCGAACCCAGGCGTAACTAACCCCCTTTTTTTGGGTACCCACCAGCGCACGTGCCCAGAAACAAAAGAAGCTTTCTTCTATCGCTTTCAATGTGGCGTGAAAAAAAGATTAGAAGCTTCGCTTGTGAATGTGAATTGATACAGGATCATACCTTTTCAGGGTGGCGTAAAAAAAAAAATCATTTATGCAATAATTTGAAAGCCCGCGACGAATTTGAAAGAGCGGTGCGATTTGTCAATTTTCTAAATACCACTTCGATCAAATACGGGGAAATTGGATTGAAATGCTGAAAAGAAAATATTTTGCTTCCATTATTTATGGTTGCAAAATGGGTTTTGAGTGTACGATTGTGATTTAAAGACAGGGACGGATCGACGCCGATTTAAGGTATTTTTGTATGAATAATGTATTTTTAGTTCCACTAGGAAAAGAAATACATTATTCGAAAAATCGGCGTCATCCATTCCTGTCTTTAAATCACAATAGTACACTCAAAGCCCATTCTGCAAACATAAATAATGAAAGAAAAGATATTTCGAGTTCTTTTCAACATTTCAATCCAAGGCCAAAATGCGATCGAATACCTAAGCAAAGTTCA